GCAAGGGGAACCACACATCTTCAAGCTGCCAAGGTTGAGAAACACTGCACTAGAGCAAAGATTTTTAAACATTAGTTTTCATTTGCAGAGAGATTTTTAAGTGGGGATGTCTGGAAAGCTGACGTGCTCCATCTGGAATTGGGCATGGGAGGACAATTCTTACATCCCATCTACTTATTTATTTATTAGATTTATCAGCCCCACCCCAGTCTGTACAACTCTGTATGACTCTGGGTGGCTTACAAACTGTAAGAACAGAACACAATAAAAACAGAGATTATACAGTATCATCCAAGAGAACTCCTGATCAGCAATCATTTAAACAATGGTATCCTACAAGGAGGCTGCAATCCATTTTAACCCTGGACTTGGGAATAGAGTCAGGTTTTAAGGCTCATGTAAGCAGGTCCGGGGTGAAACAAAATGTAGACTTGGGGTAATCCTGAGTACTATGGAGCAAAAGGCAAAGTTAGCCTACTGACTTTCTGAGGTTATAAAATCATGCTCTTTTTTTATATGTACATCTTTTTAAAGTATTTTTAGCATATTCTTTAGTTAAAAAGTGCTCTTAGAATACACCATTCTGCATGCAGGGTGGCAAGGATCAGACAGACCCTTCTCCATGTAAAATGAGGCGACATCATCCCCACATGACAGCTGTTTCCATCTCACAAACCCGGCTGTTGGGTTCCTGCCTGCTAATTCTGTTTACTACAGATGTGGAAGGTGTTGGACTTTATTAGAATGATGAAGATGAAACAAGCCTGCTTGAGTTGGGAAAATGATTCCAACAAATAGAACATAGTTTAGTGGTCTGCCAAAAAAAAGAGAGAGAGAGAGATCTTACTGCAAGTTTGGAGCGTAAACAATCCATGAAGGCAACATTTATAACAGTATGTTTGTTTGCCAGAATTAAGGGAGAGTGGAAAGGAAATATGTTTTACCGGTAGAGCAAAAGTCACAGTGTTTAAGGACTGTAAAAATCATAATTTTTTTTTGAAATGGGAGTTCCATCCTTCCCACTTCCCCCTCTCCCACAGACACGGAAACACACACACAACTTTTGTGTCAAGAAAAATAGTCCCATAGAAACCCTAATCTGACCTGCATCTAGTAAGTTTCTTGATGGTGGCATCACTTACTTTTGTGGGGTAGACAAGTAGCTGTTCTTCCAAGTTCTAATGAATTTAATACAACAGAAACATATCAGAGTACTTACTGCTTGCTTTAATTCCACCATGCTTTAGGTAAAAGAATGCCCTGGAATTAAAATATTCCAGGCAAATGCACCACTCTATTTTGCCAACAGTGAACTGTATACCAGTGCATTGAAGAAAAAGGTAAAGAGACGTCCTTCTTTCTGTTATTTAATCCACTGTAAATTTTCATAGCCAAATTGTACAAGTAAACTCATGAAATGTATTTTTGCTGGGCTCTAGAATTTCAGGCTTCAGGGGGAGACAGTAACAGGTAGTGTTATTCGCAATCTAAAAAAAAATCTTATAATGCCCAGAGTTGAGGAGACTACCATTTCTATTTAAGATGCTAGTTTTATACTTGTACAGAGGCTGGTTGGTTTGTTTTTTTAATGGGGCAGAGGTGATGATGGTGATAACGTCAACGTTTCATGTCTTTACCTGCAGTTTTAAATGGTACAATCCAACAGTAGGTTCATCAGGTTCCACCCATACTGTATTTAGCTAAATTAGCAGAGCTTCTTCTTTTGGCCAGAGCTAAGAATAATTGGGGGATGAGCTCTTAATGACCATCATGTCTAAGCATGTGTTTCTACGTGTGGTTTTCTTCCTCATGCCTTGCATATGTAGAATCTAATATGCGATGCTTAAAAATTATCTTGCTTGTCCCTGTTGGCACATCTACCCATCTAAATATATTTAATGGGGAGAGTGGGGTTACCACACTAAAATGTTACATCCAACTTTCCTGAAATGTATTCAAAAGTATTACTGTGTGACCAGTGATGTTTGAACTGAGAAAAGAGTCAATTTACTAGAATATCCAAAACCTCTTTGCTGTTCTAAATCACAGTCCCGCTAAAATGACCCTTTGCGATGGAAGTCAGTGATAAACTTAGCAAGTGAATTAACTTCATTAATAGCTTTAATTTAGTAAAGCCATTAACAGCTGTATTAAATTAAAGCTATTCATTAAGGGGCAACTTTTGGGAAAACAGGTGTAAAGAAGGATAGCATCCCATATGTATAAGGACAGCAGCCTATCAGTGAAGGTTATCTTGCTTCTGTGCCAGATAAGATAAAGTTTCATGAGATTTGCCTTTTTTTTTGGGGGGGGGGGTAGACTGGTGTCGATCCCTGCAAAATATTGGCAGCAAAAGTTAAAGCACAGAAAAGACATGCAAAGGAACTAAAGCGCCTGGATGAGCAAAAGAAGAAAACAGTTTTGAAGCTGGTAGGTAAGGCGTGTAGTGGTGAATACAGACTGTGGCTTGTGTTCATTTGCTAAGACATTTGCTTCATTTTATACACCTTGACTGAGATCAGTGGTAATAGCCAAGGTTTCCTTCAACCCAGGGCTGGGCATCCAGAGGAAGATCCAAAAAGTCAGTTTGGTCTCTGTAAAGCCTGACTGAAGCTCTGCCCCTTTTAAAGCTTCGTTACACGGTGCTAATGAAACGTTCTTCATGAAACCACCAAATTTCAGCCCCGTAATGTGAATATTTGGTGGTGTGATTCTGGGTTCTTCTTTTTTAAGGAAAAGAAGACAAATTAGAAATGTTAAGGCTCCTCAAGGTTTAATACATTCATTTCCCTTTTAAAAAAATGAAGAGGAAGCAAACAAAGAAATGTGGGCAGCCCTCTCTTCCCACCCCAGAAGTATTTTCTCATGTTTCACGTGAACAAGGGTTAAGGTTAATGTCCATCTTTTCACTTAATCAGTGTGAGGAAGGAAGGAAGAATTGATTTTGAGAAGGGATTCCAGGAATTCAAGTGGCTGGGAGGAAACTCGGTTCCTCTAAAGCAACAGATGTCTAATCTGAGATGTTCCTGGAGCCAGTTGCTTTCTTGGCAAGGAATTAGTTCCATCTCCAACTGATTTAGCAGCTATGGCTGTTCCTACTCAGATATAGACTAGCTACATTGATCCAGTCATTAGTAATATGTTTTGCCAATTGCCAACGCGCTGGCCAGGTGCAAGACAAATGGTCCTTTTAGTTCTTTCAGATCCAGAGACAATGAACACACCAGCAGGTGAAGAGATTTTAAGCTTTATTGTTAAGTCTAGCAAACAGATGTAAACAGGAATACAAGAGCATAGTATAAAAGCATAACATACCAAGCAAGATGATAAAACTCTTCCTTTACTGTTGGGAGCTACCATAAGGCGACAGCAGAGAGACTCCAAGATGGTTTAGAGTTGCTCTGTAGTGAGATGGGCAGTGACAAATTTGAAATAAATTAAAAAAAAAAAAAAAAGCAGCTCATAGTCCTAAGGCCGGTGTCCACGCTCCAAGACTCCAGGGGCAATGCCAGGGATTTTTATCGAAGTCTGGCAGTGCAATCCCATGACTCTGTTTCTTTGGAGTCAGGAGCTGTGAGAGTGACCTTGACCAGATAGTTCTCAGGATCTGAGATCTATACAGATAAGCTAGTGCTTAACCTAAACAATACTGAGGGTTCCCCCCCCCCATTTCTATGTAAACGTGAAAAACAAGCCAGCTAAACATTATTATGGCTCAGAGTGAACTTTCTTAACATGTGCAGAAGAAATCAAAATACGTCACCTAAGCTCCTCGAAGTAACAATGGACTTCTCCATTGCCGCTACGTAATCTCAGGATTACATTATTACAATGTGTTATATGTGAGACTCCTCTTAAGGTTGATCCAGAATTTGGAACTAGTCCAAAATGCCACAGCTAGGTTGCTGCTGGAAATACAGTGCATCCATTCTGAAAGAGCTGCTGGATGGCCAGTATGCTAGACGACTGTTCAGTTTTCTTGTGCTGCCGTAGAAGCCTCTGAAATTCAAGTCAGGACTTGGACGTCTGCTGAATAATCTTCTCTTATATAAAGCATTGCATTCCAATGGGGATGGTATTCTCAGTTCCCCACTGTCAGTAAGAGGGTTTTTTAACTGGAAAAATGAAGTTGAGAAGTGTAATAGACAGCAATTGAGTAACACTCTTTGCTTAGATATTATTCCTTTTAATTACAGCCAGTAATTCTTTAAAAATCAGACAATGTGTAATTCTTTAAAAATCAGACAATATGATTTTCTGGATTTTTT